ATTTCACTGGCAACCAATGAAGTTCCCTAAGTACCGGAGTAATATGGGCAAACTTAGGAATTAAGCATGTAACCCGAGCCGCCACATTAAGAACTTTTTGAAGTCGGTCATATTGATATTGCGGAAGCTTATACAAAGGAGCGTTGCAATAATCTAAAAGTGATGTAACAAACGCATGAATTAAACACTTTGTTGATTCTGCAGACAGACATTTCCTAATTTGCCTAATATTATAAAGCCCCCTAAATGCCTCACTACACACCTTTCCTATATGAGTATTCATAGACATATGGTTATCAAACCATGTGCCAAGGTTTCTAACATGCTTAAGGGGTTGAATGTCACAGTCACCAACTTAGCAACAGTATTTGAGTGAAAGATCATCATTTTTGTGCTCAATTATCTCACTGTTTTAGAAAATACTAAAACAATTATTCACCTCAGTGTCGGTGGCTAGTGGGGGATATTTACTTCCGGTTCTTCATCGTGCACCTGACTACTTGTGTGTCTGCTGTAATTACACAGAATAGTTGTTCACATTAGATTTTAGAGCACTCGTTTCCATGCGATAGAAAGGAGCAGTTATGTATTTACTTCCGCTTCTTAATTGTGTTCTTGACTACTTGGCGTCTGCTGTGATGACACAGAGTAGTTGTTTACATTAAGTTCAAGAGCAATCGTTTGCATGCGCTTATTAGAGAGATTAAGATTCACGTTCACGCCAAACGGCAGACGTGAATTTGTACCACGTGACCAAGTTTTCGACTTATTTTCCGTTTACTCTGTATTGTTTCTACACAAAAATAAGTAGTTTTATGCCAGCTTTAACCATAGGAATTGTTTGGGGCTGTTTTTATCTGCTTATTTTCTATTCTGAGAAATTCTCAACTTGAGTCTGACGTTTGCCGTTTGCGGTAAACGTGAATCTTAATCTCTCTATTAAAGAGCAGCAGCTATGTATTTACTTGCGGTTCCAAAGCGTGCGCCTGACTACCTGTGTGTCTTATGTGATTACACAGAATAGTTGTTTACAATAGGTTTTAGAGCGCTCGTTTCCATGCGCTTAATAACAGCACCAGCAGTTATGTATTTACTTCCGGTTCTTAATTGTGTTCTTGACTACCTGTGTGTCTGCTGTAATTACACCGAGCAATTACTTTGCATTGGTTTTACACTGTTTGTTTCCCGCGATTCACAGTAGCGACAACTACTCATTTACTCCCGGCTCTAATTGTTTCACGTGACTGCCTGTGTCTGCTTTGCAATACTGAATTGGTTTGTACAATACTTGTTTCTCGCGGTTAGAAGCAAAAGGAGCAAAGTATTTAATTGCCGCTTTTGCCTGTTGTGATTCATACAACGAAATAACCGCCAGGCACGTCGTTAACATAACAATAATAACAATAATAAGCAGGTTGTTAAAATAGTAGAACTTCTTCGACGGCGATGGTGAGGTGGCTGGTGGAAAATCGTTATAATTCGGGGGAAGAATCTGTAAAAACAGAGAGCAACATTTTCAGTTAATACATGACTGTACTGAATGCGAAATAGGCTATTAAGGACTGGGAGCGAGGAAAGTCGAAGGTGTGGAGAGGGTTTGGTTCAAATAACAGAGAAGGTACACTTGTATGAGGAAAGTACGCACTGTGCAAGCGCGGTACTAATTTCTGACAGCCTCTATAAAAATAGGGCCATGTGTCGTAAACAAATTGCGTTACTTCTGTTCAAATTTGGCCCACAAGAAGTAGATAGTTTAAACCAGTTACAGGGCTACTTTCAGTCCCCAACTGTTGATACGATGTTTTGAAAACTGGCAAAAAGGGCGTAATCATTCCCAGTCTTCTGTTTTCGCTAGCGCGGTTTTGTAGCTCACCGGAAGTAAAATTTCACGTTTTTGGCAGGTTAAAACACGGGGAAGAAAAATCGCTATCGAAAAAATTTTTTTGCTTTCCTTATCAAAACACGGTATAGATTCTATCAAGCAAATAAAAAAATTTCTGTCATATACACTTTAAATCCCTTTAATGACATAGTAAAAAAGAAAATCTGAATAAAAAAAACATTTGAATTAAGGACGCATTTGCGGGATCTTTCACGTTTGAAAATACAGCAGTTTCCCGCGTGTTTCCTATTTATGAATAATAAAGATAAGTCATATAGTTTCTGTGAAAGTACGGCACTCACTCTATTAAAGTTCGGTGTCATGATCCTTTGAATCTTTTTTCCTTGAAGACCGAAAGTCAGTTAGAAATATCATTTTCACACTTGCTTGCGGGATCTTTCGGAATCTTTGCGGATCAAATTCCTTTTTCTCAGTTTTCTCAGAATTTAGGCGCTCCAGAAGAAAAGGTACATCAAATTTCTTCTATACTTAGAAGCTTTTTGTAGTCAGAAAACAAGCGAAATATATTTTTTTTAATTCCTGCCATCGAATGCTCGATATTTCCTCACCGTAGCCCTTAAAAATGTCTTCAAATAGATTCAAAACCGCAGATGGTAAATAAACTCATTCCTACCTTTGCAGCCAATTCCCACATTCTCAACCGAGATGACAAATGAATCAGACATTCTCTATCAAAGCGAGCTGGGTTCGAATCATGAGCTTCTAAAAGACACTTCATTACTGCATAAACAAAAAGAAAAGTAGAAAAACATGAGCAATGAAAGTGGTCTATAGATGTGCAAAACTAAACTAAATGACGTAAACCGGGGCACTCAAATGGTCGAATCCTGGCACCATGGACGAAATCATGGCGGTAGTGCTTTCGCAGGGTTTCTACAGTTTTAAGCTTTTCACACAAAGAAAATGAACTTTGAATCCGGCCGTCTTGCTATGCTCGTTTCACTGCACTGTTAACGTGTATAATTCAGAGAACGGGAGTCCAATTTCCATCGCTTTGGAAGGCTTTTTTCTCAAAGTTGGGGACAATGTATCAATGACCTTAAGTTTCAGGGGATTCTATGGCACTGTAATTTACCCTTCATTTCAGAGTTAGGGAACCATGACAATGTTTTAGGTCAATGCTGTGTTGAAGTCATTACTTAGTGTCTTTGACTATACGGAAAATGCTGTTACAACATTGTTCCAACATTGCAACGATGTGTTGCGCTAAAAATCGTCTTTGCGAATCGTCCCGTGTAACACCACCTTTATACAGAAGATATCAACCACATTTCATCAGAGAAAACTAACCGTAATAATTTTTTGGTGAATTTTGCAGGCATAGCATAAAAACTTGAGAAAGGTTGACCCAACTTGTCAAGTTTCAAGCCATTTCCATCCTTGCCATTCGTAGCGACAGACGAAAAGAAAAAGTTCTGATGCCTATTATTTAAGCAATAGACCACACTTTCTATGGGTTTACCGGCGTGATAACCCACGCGGGATGTTGTTTAATTTTGACAAGCTTTTCGAGTGTTCTCCCAACATCCCAAGCGGGTTATCACGCCGGTAAACCCATAGAAAGTGTGGTCTATTGCTTTTATAAAATAACTTTTAGTAGAATAGAGTCTTAGGTAAAAAATATGGTTTTAGTACCGTGATCAAGTCGTGTCTTCTCTCTAAAGTCATCATAAGCCAATCATGACTCACGATTTAACAGCACTGAACTTTCTCAAAATTCAGTTCAGTCAAACAACAAACAGCAGCACTTCAAAACACGAGTTTTTGCACTCATTACATGATAACTTATGAAAGCTGTTTTACAGGAAAAGTCAACACATATACATGCGAACGTACAATGGAAGAATACGTTCATGGTTTGTTTACTACAGAAGTAGAAATTAATTGAACATCAGACTGTACGCAGCTGTATTTTGTAGAGTCGATCCGTAAGAATTTCGTGCTTACAGACGGAACTGGCAGCTATTGTAATGGAGGACTTCATTCACTTTTTACAAGCCGGAGTGGTTTAAGATCTGTTTTCTGGACTTTATTATGATCAAGAAATGCTGCGGTAACGACGTGGCTGCATTTGCGAAGTTGTCGCATGTAACTTTATATGCACGTATAGCGACCGATGGAAATATGTCAGTGGTGGAGAAAGGTTTCTTTGCCGTAGCCACATATTGGCGTTAATATTTGTCGATTTGTGAAGTCAGGTGGTTTGAGGTAGGTTATGGCATCGATATCACCGAATAATTTGTGCAAATGTTGGAAAAAACCAGCCCTAAACTGTGACATCTTTCATAATCGTTGGCTGCTTGTTTACAACCTACAGCGGCCGATTTTGTACCATATCTTGATCAGAGATCTCTTTTTGGAACAATTTCTTTCATTAAGGAATTTAATTTTGACATAAAATAAATCAAGACTGCTAAAACTATCCGTTTTGCTTTGGTGCTGGTTGGCACATGGTTAAGTTTTCCTAGAGACTTTCTACACCAGAAATTCACACAGTTGTTGTCTTTCTCTGCGATTTGGCATCGTCGTGAAATGTAAACTACTTTCCAGCTTTGTACTTTATAACTTCTAAAGCTATGGCAGTAGCGAATTGTGACGCTCAGTAATAAAATGTGGAAACCAACGCTTTTAATCATGATATTAAAAAGGACTGGGTAAGTAACTTGTTCTGTTTTTTCAGCCTTTCTAAAATCGTTGTTTACAGATCAATAGCCGGTTTTGTTTATGGCTCGTGGTCCAGATGCCTTTTTGTATGGGTTTACCGGTATAATAAACCGTAGGTTTTTGACCAATCAGATCACGCGTCCTATCTCAGTTATTTTATAAATCGTCTTCAGTGGCAAAACTGGACCATAAGTTTCGGAATTCAACTGATGCGAAGATACGTTTGATATTATGAAAAAGATAGCAAAGAGCGTGGTATAGCCCTTTGTGGGCTTGTTTACATGGAGGTGGGGGACCCCAGGTAGGTGAGGTAACCTGCTTCGGAGGGGTAACCCGACTGTCCATATCATCTCTCATTTTAATTTGATCACGTTTACATGATAGTAGTAGTACCCCACCTGAATGTAAGCAGGCCCTAAGTCTGTTTGCAATCCTATTTATTTTTACCTTTTCCTTTTCCAAAAGGGATATCTGAACAGTGCCGTTTGACATCATTAGCACATGCCTTATATAACACAGGGTCCGCTTGGATGTCTGTGCGACCCTCTCTCATTTGACGAACTATTTCCTACAAAATAATCAGAACAAAAATTGGGCTCCAGATTTTAAGGCCTAACATGCTACAAAATCCTCTTTAGAGGTAAGCAGGAGTTACGCTCCTACGATGTTAGTCCAAAATTTTCCAAAGAAACACGTTGCTAACTTGCGTGGCAGGCGTCAAAAGAGACAAACGCTGGGGGTGGGGGTAAGGGAGGAAGTAAAAGCCACGTAGGTTACACATTGCCAGTCCACATTCTGGATTACAGCCAAACCCCGCTTGACGAACACCGCTTAATACGGACAGTTTTCATTCTTTCCGAGAGTTTTCTTTGTCCCTGGGGGAAAGAAAGCCCTTACATTCTTTATAAATTCAATCCGCTTTATATGGACACCCCGTTACGTCCCTCAGTGTCCGTATTAACGTGGTTTGACTGCACAGACAGTGATCATTGAGCGTTAACAGCGTCAGATGGGAGACTGTTCCATACAGGTATGCAGCGGGTAAAAGAGCAGTACCCACCTTCTACTCGAAAATAAGCGCTGAAGAACATGATTAATTAATGCACCCTTCACTGGAAAACTACCAAAAAGACTTTAAATTGTGCCTTGCGAGTTTCATGCCGGGGTTCGGGAACTAAAAGCCGAAATTATCATTACGTATTTTTTGGCGTTGCAGAAACTCTTCCAGGTTAGAAATTGTGTTGAGGTTTGGGTATTCAATATTTTTATCACATGATTTGGTGTCATCAAATAAGCGACCGATAGAAACCTTGGCACACACAGGAACCAAACTTTTCTTATGATGCACTGCAAACGTACAGTAACCAAAGTTTATTATATGGTTACAATAGTACGCGCGCTCTGATTGGCTGCCTTCTTGTAATGACCGGGCATTATGTTCTGCAATGACTGGGCATTACTACCTAGGTGTCCAAGCCTTATACAATCTGTGTTTAACTTGATAGTGGACATCCATTGAGGGCATCCACTGACTAGTGCCAAATGAATGTATCGCGGGCTCAAGTGTACAACTTATTCTGATGACGTCAGGGATACCAGTACCAAAGCATGTCAAAAGTTACATTCATAATTGCAAATGCAGTAATCGAAAATACTGTGGCAATAGCAAATTCAATACGTATTCTGTATACAGTGCTGTTCTATACAACTGTAAAAATTGATAATTAGAAACGAAAGGCGTAATTCAGACTGTTCCATTGTCCATTAATGAATAGCATCATTGACCATGGGGTGTTAAAAATGACGTCATCATTGTGACCTCTCTAATACGGACACCTCTCTAATACGGACACTTCGCTCTGTCCCTTCGGCGTCCATATTAGGGAGGTTCGACTGTAAATAACTTATTAACCTCGTCCGTTTGGTCATTACAGGGAAATTTCAGATCTCGACCTTGAAACTTGTTTACAAATTTCCATTTTTCCTGACTTGGCAATCTTTATTTTCTAAACCAAGTCTGGAAAACTGGTTTACACATTTCAAGACTTTTTCAAGAATTCAAGACTTTGTGCGATCGATACAAATGGATCGATCGATCTTATACTGGCTACGTTCTAAAGGGAGACTTACCACTCGACAATTCTTCGTTGTTACTGATCCTAAATGCGACTTCAGACATTCTTCTACTGCAGATGGTGGCGAACCAGCACAAAACTTTTTGATCTGGCCGGGAAAAATTTACTGCAATGTAACACGTGATGCAATGCAAACGCGTAACTCCATCAAAGACAGGCTAAGTGCCTGCATCAATGAAGCCATGCTACCCGTTTAAAGTACACTTGCCCAATAAGATGGCTGAGCAAAAAAGACGGCGAACCTTGCGTGACAAGCCTGACAATAACTATGTTTAAAAAGATTTTCCGTTAAACTTTAGCTTCCTTTAAACACAGATTATTTTGTACGTAAGACAGAACACGGTAATGTTAAGAGAAGATCACGACTAAACACCCAAGCAAAGCCGACTGACAAATACAAGCGTTCTGCCGCCCTCTTGCGCAAGCCCACTTATGTGAGAGCTGGAACGCGGCGATGCACTTATCGCATTGACCGAAAATTGTAAATGAAAATGGTTTGATGCCGTCAAGACAGTTGGTTTCTGATGGGGTGGTGAGAATTACCGTACATAGACAGTACCCACCACTAAAGTCTTGTAGTGTATTATCACACCTGCCTTCAAAGAATTGAATAGGTGTGATCTCCCCCTATCACAAGTAAAAAAACAGGTGTATTTTAAGATTTGAATTTGCTACAAGCAGACAAAAATCTTCCCCCAAATTCTCACTGCAAAATCAGTGTCAATCAGGCTCATCAAATGTCCCCTTTAGTGAAAATACTGTAGTTTCCTTTGAACTCATTATCATATATTTCCAGAACCAGAAACAAAGAAAAATAAAATTTACACCAAAGATGAAATTAAAACATGACATATACCCCCCCTCCATTAACTTATGATCACCACAACGATTTCTTGAAGAAGCTCACGCCATTGTTCGCAACACCAGGTAGGTAATCACTATCTATCACATAACAGTACAAACTAAGTCGTTTATCATTTGTTAAAGGCTAGTTACACACCTCTGCTTTGCACTCCTCTACAAGTCTAGTGTCCAGTCTGAAGTCTTTTGCAGCTTGGCGAATGAGTCGTTTAGTGTATTCTTGACACTCTTCAGACAGGCG